AGAATCAGAACCATAGAATATCCTGAGTTGAAAGGTACCTACAAGGTCATAAAGTCCAACTCCTGGCTCTGCACAGGACCATCCCCAAGAGTCCCACCATGTGTCTGAGAGCATTGCCCAAATACTTCTTGAATTCTGTTAGGCTTGGTGCTGTGACCACTTCCCCTACACTTCTTCGTGCCCATTTCAGTTACTCAGGAAAATGGTGAGAGTCTAAGGGACTTAAAAGATGTCATATGTTCCAAGTTCTTCTGGTAATGATCTTATACTTCCTTGAGCATTCTTTCAATAGGAGTGTCCTGGTGATATCCATACTGTGGTGTTCCCTGGCTCATTGTTTAAGTTACCAATTGCTGATAATAGAATATTGCTCAACATAATGCTACACTTAATTCTTAGCTCACAGTCTTTTTTCCACAGAAACAGCTGCTTTAGAAAGTCACTTTATAACTAAATTTTCTCTTCTATAGCTGTGTTGTGCTCCCCTACCTTCTCTATAGTGCTTGGGAGAATTCTTGACCTCAAAGCACTGAATGTCTCCATATTTCTCCTCCTTATCTAATTGCATGTTTCTATGTCTTGTGACTTTCTTACAATTTCTTAATTGTACATTTCATGGGGTAAGAATGCCAACTTTATGTCGACTCCATCTGGAAGACTTGAAGGTTGTTCCTCGATCTCTTTGCAGCTTATCTTCAAACTCTCTGGCTTTGGAAGAAAGTGCTGACTGCACAGCAAATCATGGTGTCTGCAGCATCATCACAGAAAAATTCTTTCACCATATATAATTCCCAAGAAATATGTTATTGCTTCTCACAAACAGTGACAGTTGTTCAGCTTGTTTGTGATTTCAAGGATGCCGCACTTCGCTTGATCAATACAAATTGGAATGGAGAAGGAATTAGTGGTTACAGTATTGTTGGCTCGAACTTGACCAGTCAATTCTGCTAAGGAAGATGTGGTTTGAGATAGATAGCACAATTTATAATATCAGTTCTTATTTGTTTTGTGAGAAATAAAAGGCCTGTGAACTTCATCACTGTTGAAATACATACTTTGAAATTTAAAATACATTAATTTTTACTTTTAACAGTCAAGTAGGATATGGGAGGTCATATAGAGAAGGCCTGGAGATTTTTTAGCACAAAGGTCTTGTAAGTGTAAAGAGAGTTCATGAAGAGAGGATTTTTTTTATCTCTGTGTTTGTCTAGAAGTTTTCTTCTTTTCCTTCTTTAATGTCTTTACTAAACAAGTAAACAGGAGTGGAGACAAAGAGTGGGAATCACAGTGTCATGACAATGCCTGCACCATGGTTCAGAGACCATGTCAAATTGTTAGGTGTCAAGAATCCATGGATGGGGGTGAGTGATAGACATATACTACTTTTGGCAATTTCATCTCAAAAAGAGTGAGTCACTATGTTGAAAGTTGAGACTAGACAGTGGATATGAAATGTGAGTAGTTTGAGTGAGTGCCTGAGCTCCTATAAAAACATCTATTGAATGCATTTGCTTCATCAAAGCCCAAACCCACAGGTTCAGAGAGATGTACTCCTATGGTTGACAGCTCAGTCAATATTTCTTCTGCTCTGTCTCTTCCTGTCGTAGCATTGATTTCTGTAAGCTAGAGGAAGTAATCCCTAATGACATTGTGTAACAGTGTTAAGGAAAGATTGTTTTCCCACTACACACTTTTTCATACACAACTTATAAATGTATTTCATTACTTAAAAACTTTACCTCTTGCAACTCTGATAAATTTTATGTCCTGACATTCTATCCAGATTGGCTGCTTTCTTAATGCCTTCTTTCTGATTTTACACTTCTATGGAGCAACATACTTGGTGATTCCCCTGCATCATCTCATCACTGCAAAGCAGTGATGTCACTCTGACATGTGCTATTCTCTCAGCTTCCAAGCAAGATGAAGGATGCCTCATGCACCCTTTGCATGGAGGAGGAGACCATAATGTCATGTCACGTACCATCCTTCCACTGCTGTCAACATCGCTTTGTGTCCTAACCCCCATAATCAGCAATGTTCGCTATTGAGTGGTAAAAACTGCTGCATAGCTGTAATGAAATGAAATTCCTGTTATTAATCTCATTATCTAACCTTTTCTGTATTCTTTTTTTCTAAAAAAAAAAAAAAAAAAAAAAAAAAAAAAAAAAAAATCAAAAAAATCCATCACTGCAATTTTGTAGAGCTAGTGTCTCTAGAAAGCAGACGCTTTTCCAGGAAGTTTTGAAGGATTTTTAACTTTTGTGGTTTTGAAGAAACCATGGTTATTTAAAGTACTTGGAATTTGTTTAGTCTTATGTCCAGAGTGCTAGCTATGAATTTCCAGCATAGTATTGGTATTGAAAAATGGGATGAGGTTTTGAAGGGAGCAAGAAATTGTGTATATTTATTGCACAGAAGTGAAAATGGCTTCATGGGTGAGCAGCACATTTGTAATGAACAGGCTTTACTGGGGTTTGTCTCCCCTGTGGACCCAGGTGTGATACCAGATTGGAAGAGATACCCTTTCCACTGAGCTGACTTCTCTGATCCCTTGAGATGATGTTTGTGAGGAAGAGGTTGTAAAGGATTTAGTATTATCAAGTGTGTGGGGTCTTACCTCACACAGAGAATCAGCATGGCTTAAGGGTGTCTGGAGCCAGACCAGAGGCAGGTATGGATTGATATGTAGGCATGAAGTCTGTGTTGTTTCATGAGATATCACTGGTTCAAATTTCAGACTCTGTAATTCCTCTAAAAACCATTTTTGATCAGATAGTACCAGATAAGTTGTCACCATTTCTATTTACCTTGTACATAGAAATTAATAACTTGTCATTTTCTGTATCACATTGTTGTGGGATAAGCTCAATAAGGAAAAAGAAATAAAACTAAATACTTCAAAAACCAGCTCCCACTGCTCCAGTCTGCTGTGGTTAATGTCAAAAGGACTTTGCCCATTATTTGTTCCTGGAGAGTCATAAAGGATATTATAGTCCTTTATAGTATGAGAAGTTAAAACTTTATTTTTCACTTGTGTTTTCTTCATAAATTCCTGCTGTTAAAAAAAATAAACAACTAACCCCAAAGGCCTGTGTCTCACAAGAAGCCTCCCCTGAATATTGTTTCTTTTTAACATAACATTGCTGGTTCCTCTTTGCAAAAGTCACAGATATACAAAACTCCATAAACAAACCAACAAAAACCAAACTTCAGAGAACGCACTTCAGTGCCTTAACATCGTACTGACTTGTCAGCTATCTCCATTACTTTGTTCAGGATTTTTTTTTTTTTTTAATTTAAGAGAAAATCAGAGAAATTCCATAGTAAATACTAGAAAAAAAGAAATCTAGATATTGGACATTGCATAACATATCCTCAATTTCATATCTGCCTATACATAAATAAATGGACTATATTCTTTAAAGAAGCAGCATCTCTTGTAAACCTGATGAACTAGAGACCAGTTGAATGCCAGCGAGGTTTTAGGCCAGAAAACCAAAGAGCCCAGGAACTGGTGTTATATCAGGTGTTTCATGTAACTATAATTGTATTCTCAGAGTACTACAGGTGTAAGTCTAAGTAGTTTTTTTTTGAAGGAAAATAGTTTTGATATGACTATATGTTTAGTATATGTTCCATTTATTTTCATATTTTATTTTCTCTATTTATAAAGAAAATTCTTTTCTTCCCTACTTGCTTGGCCAAAAAATTCTAAGCCCTGCAAGTCAAGATGGTGTTTCATGTCTTTTCTAATGAGTTGCATTTTCAAGATTGACACAGCTTGTGGGAGTTCACCAGGCAGTTCACAAGTACCCCAACTGCATAACAAATTCGCTACCATAATAACCCTTTGAAACGTAGAAGAGGACAAATTGCTCAGGTCCCTTGGTAGCAAGGAGAACAGGGACTGTGGGTAGATTTAATTTCACCTAACATTAGCCATCCCCAGTTAGATGTCTCAATTAAACTGCCTGCTTAGCCTTTCTCTCCAGTGAGTGGATAGAAAGAGACAGGTACTTCCAGACAGTAAATCATCCCATCTCAAGATATTTTTCCAGATTAATGGGATGAATTGCAATTTTCATCAGAAGACTTTGTAAGTTTATTTGAGTGTAGAACAAGTCATAAACTTTGCCTTTGCTATCAGAATATATACTCTTCTTTTTTTCTGCTTTTAGAAATATTGTTAGAGTAATGACACTTGTAATTCTGGACTCTTTCACAAATTTGAAGTGTGGCCTTATCTTGAAGCTCTCCTTGACTGACTGAGGAATTATTTAGGTACTGTGTATGTTCTTGGCTTGTATTGCATGCAGTTAACTGGTAGCCCAAGAATGAAATTGTAACACATATTTCCATGAACTCTCCTGTTGAGCAATGTTCCATTGTATTGATTTCCATGTATTCTTCTAAAAGTTTTGGGTTTGTTTTCCTGGCTTCTTGCTATGTTATCTACTGTGTTCAGTAGTAGGGATCTTCTGAGAAAACAGTTTTCCTGTGAGCTGCATATAAAAAAAGCATCTTTGCACATACACTGCATCATTTGCTCTTCTTTTATTTGTGCCACTTTACTGCTATGAGAAGTACTTTTTTTCTTGGTCTCACTGGGATTTGGAGGCAGCTGGCTATGTTCTTGAAGCATTGCACCTGAATCTACATGAGATTTTCTCCTCTCATACTGATTGCTGCCTGGGCAGCAGTGTGCAGACCACCAGCTTTCCTCTCCATTTCTTTTCTTTCCATTTCTCCATTTCTTCCTCAGGTACAAAGCTCACACATCCAGTTTCCAGTTTTATTGCCTTTGGAAGGACAGTCTGCTGGGATTTTTAAACCTTTCTAAAATTTCCAGCAGAACTTTGTGGTCTTTTAAAACAACTGGTGTCACCTGCAGCTCAGTGAGTTTGACCTCTCTTCACAGAGGGCGGGGAATGAGGGAAGGGGCCAGGACATAAGGAACAGCTTGGATGAGCAGGTAATTAAGGCAGTCAGACTTAATTAGTTTTTAATAGTTGGGAGGAGTTTTTGTATCTGCATATGGCTGAGAGGTAGCTTAGGGAGCAGAAATGAGCTGGGAATGCAGAATGGTTATAAAGTTAGTTAAGAGAGGGACTTGCTAGAGGTCCTGGAAGTGTTGATGGCTGTTTGCTTTAGGTGGTTTCAGTAATGCTGTTAGGGAGCTCTGCAAGACCAGGGAGGAAGTTTATGTCCAGGGCTTGTGCTAATTGTGCCAGAGGGAGCATTCTTAAATGTTTTGTGTTTGTACTCCTTTCTTCCTCAAAAGGAGTGATGTGGGAAGTGATTTTAACTGAAGAAAGGGACATGGCTTAAATGGCTGAATGCAGCTTGTCTTCTCCCTGGTAAAATAGCTTGTGAAAATGCAACACCTTGAGATCTTTGAGGTGAAAACTGTATGCAAAAGCTGCTCATCCAGCAGACCGTGTGGTCTGGCTTATGACCTTTGTTGCTTGGTATGAAGAGTCATATTCCTAGAGGTAGGTGGTTGTCTAATTTCTACTGGTTGCAGCAAAATAAGGGTGAGGGTGTGTACATTTGGATTTTGCTCATGCATAACTTTTTAAGTCACTCTTTTAAAATATTTTCACCACTGAAATGAGCAGGGCTTGTGGGCAGGCCTTCAGGTTTTTTCCTGTTGCACTTCAGAACCTGGACAGAAGCTTGGATGAAAGTATTTTCTAGATATTTCAGAATCTACTCTGATTGCTCTGGTGCAGAAGCTTCTGTGTGTGAGCAGTGCAAGCCTTTGCTCTATAACACAGTAGTCTGGTTGCCTTGGAACATGCAAGTGAGCCTGCTTCTAGGTCTGTGAATGGAGAAGGAAAAAACAAAAGCCTGGAAGGATAATAAAAGTTGATCTTAGATCTTTTATACTACTATTTTCAATTTTTTTAAAGTGCCTTCTTAATCATATTGGAAGATCAAAATCATCTTATAAATACTTCTGAAGCTCTAACCTTTTCTTTTTTTGTAAAGTTAATAAAAAATAAATAATCTACTGCCTTTGTCTTGGGACGTAATTGTTTGCTTGGTGTTTGTCCTGGAAAGGATTTGCTTGTTTCTCTGTAATATTGCAGTACTGTTTCTCTGTGGGATATTTATCTTTTGGATGTCCTTGAAACTGAGACAGAAAAGTTCAAGAGAGTGATTTCTGTGTAGGAAATGTACCTATTAAAGGTATTGGAGTAAGTAATGAAACCCAAGACTGGTGTTTATGACTGGTATTAAGTCAGGTTTAGACAGGAGGAAGATGCAGTTTTACTGGATGATTCTAAAGGCAGACATACATTACATATATATTAATTAACAAAGGTGTGCAGTCCTTGTGCAAAGGCATCTTGTTGGAAAACACCTTCCAGGTGCTTCTAGAAAAAACTCCAGCTATCTCATTCAATTATTCAAGTTGTTATTCAGAGATTGCCCAGTCATTCCTCTGAAGCAGATGGAGACAGTTTTTCACAAAGCTGAGACCAGCATTGCGTGCACTTTGTCTTTTCTGAAGTTTCTATCAAAAGGAAGTGTTATTCTGTTACATGGTGTATCTGTGCATTAAAAATGCTTGTCCTTGTAAGGGTGGTTAGGAGAAGATAAATACACTATACAGTAATGCTAATAATTAAATTTGTAAAATAACTGCTTTTTGATAGACTAACACACAAATACAATTCCAGCAGTGGCTGTTTCTCATTAGTTGGAATGACATGCCAGCTTTAGAATATGTAATGATGTATAAGCCCTGGTGGTTATAATTGGCATAGAAATGTACTATATCCTTGGGTGTTAAAAGCCATAAGCTATTTATTTTCATACTTACAAAGAATGTACTATATTGTGGTATAAATCTCACATGGATTGTCATAATTGCATTTTTTTAGTAATTTATGTCCATATGGTTCAAATATGAATCTGTCCCCCTTATTAGCATCCTGCTGGTGACAGAATGTACTGATAAATTAGTATCTTGTGTCTGGAAAGCCTGGTTGAATTCAAATCTCATGCAAAAGAAACTTAAACCTAACTGGTCTTCCTGACAAAAGTAGCCTTGTTGTCATGAAGATTTTGTAATATGTGAGCTTGTATAGTAGTGATATGCTTGCAACAAACTTGGTTGTTGGCTGTGGGTTTGTTTGGTTGTTTTTTGTTTGCTTTTTTATTTTTTTTTTTAGAAGCATCAAATTCATACAAGTAAGGGGTAGATTTGAAGGTCTCTAGCCTAAACTGGGAGTAGATAGTGCTGAAGTTGATGGTGTAAAATAATTTTGAAGCCAGAGATAATGTGCAATAAAATAATTGATGGACTTCTATTAGATGTCATATTGTATTGATTCTTCTGCACTATGAAAGGATGTTTGATTGTAAAGTCTATGTGTGACACACATGATATGGAATTATGCTATGGATGTGAAAGTACATCATATGGTCTTTTTTCTTAGGGCTTTGGGGAAAAAAATTAGAGAAATGGGTGAAAGAAATGTAGGGATAAATCATAAACACTGTTTTTCTTTAAAAGAGAGTTGGTATATAAATAATGTGCTACATATTCAAAAAATATTAAAAAATGAAACTTAGGTAAGGTAAAGTGTTGATCTGTCTGTCAAATCCGTGTCTCTCTGACTTAGAGACAAGGGTCTGGTTGGGACAGTGTTAAAGGCTTTTCACAAGTCCAGAGAGTTGATGTGAGTTGCTCTTCCTTTACAGCATGTTTGCTTAATCTGAGTAAATTATCTGCCTGATGGATAGTGCTTTGTAGCCTCAGTTTAGGCTGGGCTTTAGCATTTAAATATGCAGTCTAGGGGACAAACTACAAATTTAAGTGAATATTTAGGTCCTGAGTTTTGAAGCTGAACGAAGCATTGGCTGCAAATTCAGCAAGCTTCAATTTATGTGATTTTAGTGCAAGTCTCCAATATTTGTGGCTTCTGGAGGCTCTTGTTTTGGGTTTGTTTTTTACTATAGGTGTTTACATGGCTGAGTTTGGTGAATTTGCCTGTGTGTATGATGGACGTGTTGATGAATATTTTACATGTTCTTCTTTTATTTTTCAGAGACCTACAGCCAACAAGACTTCTGGTGCTCCTTCCTACAGCAGATGGTCCAGTTCACAGCCCCATCAGGTAATATGTCCTTGTCAAAAACGATATGAAGCTGAGGTTGACACATGCTTCCTTTTAAAATGAATCTGTGAGGGGATCTGAGAGTGTTGTCTACCTGCACTAGCCCAGCTAGATCATGCTGCTCTCTGAGGTTGTTGCAGGATATCCTGTGGCAAACTCTTGGGTGCACTTGCTGCTCATGGAGGAGCTTGTACAGCTGTGTCTCTAATGAAGTGGTGCCTCTCTGGTTTGTCAGGGGTGGTTATTGTGGCTGGATCACCCTATCCTTTGCATCTTGTCACTTAAGCTACAAGTGTGTGTGTTTGATCTGCTTTGGCAATACATGAAGTCACCTTCTCCTATGTTAGCCTTGCCCCTCCACTGCCCCAGGGTTTTTTATGAAGTGGTTACAATGGTCAAAACTTCCAGGAAACCTGTTAATTGAAATTGAAGCCAGAAACTCTGAAGTGATAGCCAGGAAACAGTATTATAATTAATGAGTCTTTATAAGAGTTTGAATGGTATTCAGAGTTTCTGTTACTTTATCAAAATCAAAAGACATTTTTGACTATAGACAAGGATTTGGCTTGTTTTTGTTGTTAAGGGACAGTGTATTTCAACTAAACCAACTTTGTCTTTAAAAACTTTTCAGGTGTCTTTTCAATAATGATTGTATTGACATTGCTTTCTTCCAGCATCTACTTTTGTTTTTTCCTCTTTCTACATAAATTTAAAAAAAAACCCCAACACCACCAAAATCCCAGTAACCCACAAAACCCAAAACCACCACTTCCCCTTGACACTATGAAAATTCAAATTACTATGGTGAACAAACCTTTGATCTGACATGCTAGATTTCCCTTTTGAAGGACATGGACATTTGTACACTAAGAGAGGAAATTCCACTAAGTTGTGTTTTGGCCTCAAAAACTAAAGGAAAAGAAACTATGAATTTAATTTGTATTCAGATTAGGATGGGGGAAAAAAATGGCTAAGTGCTTCATGGGCTATTAGCTACCTTTTTCACTATCTTCCCAGTGTTAATGGTTCTGTTTTCACAAAGTATTTTGAGAGTTTTGTGCCTTCTCTTCGTTTAAATACGTGGTTCTTTTGCTTGCAAAGGTTTCCCTTTTTTGTCTTTCACGTTTTTGACATTGAATCTTTACTGTTGAGGGTAAAAGTGAAGAATGCATATACAAAAGGTTAACTCTTTTCAGTGGTTATTGCTTGCTTCATCCTAAGGCATTACAGTCAGCAAGAAAAAGTTCTTGGAGTATAACTAATACGCATGAGCACTGTTCCCCGTCTTTTTGTGCGTGTCTGCAGTTGTCTGTTAGTGGGAGACAAATTCCGAAGTCAGGAGGAGACCATCCCTACAAATCATATGAAATGCACCTTGTGCTCTACACACTTGATTTCCTTTTTGAGAAGGGAGGGAAACTTAAGTGCATAATAAAGATTGTTTGTGGTGTTACAACCCTGTGAAACCACTAGCAGAGCTGAGGGATTAACTACCAGGAATGTTGCTTGAAAGTATGTCTAGGCTATCCAACATCTGCAGGAAAAAAATTGTTCTAATGCATTAAAGCATGCCCCTGGTAATTTCCCTCCACATATATTGTACCTCTTATGTTTAACTCTTGTTTTCCTTTGTCATTTCCACTCTAATCTTTTCTTGTTCTTCCTTGTTTATTGTCAGCTTTTGTCTTCTGTGTTTTGGGTTTAATAAGCTTATAAACTTGCCTCATGGATATTATAAATGCCAGTACCAACTGTGAGGATGTATAGGCTTGCTGCGATTCTGTTTGGGAGACTGGAACACTGCTGTGTGCTCTCATGAGCTGAGTGGCAAAATATTTGTATTGGATAAGAGATTTGTATTCAGCCTTGCAACTTGCCAGCATCTATATATAGTTTATTTAAACTTTCTTCTTTTTTTTTTTTTCTTTTTTTTTTTTTTTTTTTTAAGATGGCTTTCCAGGAAAGAAAAAGATTAAAGTTCAAAATTCATAGTCTGCATTTCTTTAGTCTCGTGCAGTGAACCCAGTGAAGGCCTTTCCGCATGCATCTTATAAGAATCCACACACAAACCTAATAGAACTGCATACCTGAGACTTTTGATGCATCTAAGAAATGTTAAAAGTTAAATTGATTTCTTCCTTCTTTCCCCAAGCTTTTCTTTTTTCATTTCCTCTATCTATGTGAAGTTGGAAGGTCCATTAAGTGAGAGATTTGAAAGGGTGGGGTCAGTGAGTCACAGAAAAGAACACATTTTTCCCTGACTTGTTTTACTTTGTGCTACCCAGACATGCTTATATTTTGTATTGGATAAACTGAAGCATGTTTATCTATCTCAAATATGCTCTCTGGGGAGTTTTTTAATAAGTTTCTATCAACTCATTGCTCTCATGGACACATGGAATTTGTATGCTCAGGTTTTTTTTTATATGAAGCTGTTCAGAAAATAGTGTTGCTTTTTGTTCTTTTTTTTTTTTTTTTTTTTTTTTTTTCTACTGCCCCTTGAGCCTGGGAAAGTGTTTTGTTGCAGGGGAGGCATCTTTGAAACTTGATTTAGAAGTTCCTTCTGACTGCCCTGGGAAGGAGGCATTAGTAACTGGTTCAAGCTAGGTTTTTTCAAGCATTCCTCTTTCTCAATGTCAGAATAAGAAGCCACTAGTCTAAAAGTTTTGATTTTTTTTTAATTCAAGGAATTAATTTATTGAATTAAGGAATTTGAGGAGTGGGAAGGAAAGCCAAACCAAATCTCAGCTTCTGAACTGGCATCCATGGAGCTGTGTGGGATCTTACTGCCTTCAGCAGTACTAAACTGCCTTGAGGGATGGAATCAAGGAGGAGATGTAGATGTTAATGAACCAAAATTGCCTTCACCATGTTCTTGGCTAGTGGCATTGCTTGACGTGTGAAGAAGTCTGCAGCAATTTTGAGAGAAGCTCTGAACTTAGTCCTTCTGTGGTACTCTCAAGGCTGCTTCCTGAAGTGCAAGTGGCTCTTACCACTGATGAAAATGAATGAGGAAGTGGCACTTTATCAGACATGAAGATATAGCTATTTCTAATACTATGCTGCTTTTGCTGAGTGGGATGACAGCCAAGGCAGAGCTTCTTACAGTGATGGCAAATCTTTGCGTGGGACAGTCTGTCTGATGTTAGGAATCAGGTATACAGGCAGGCTGGGACACAAGGCACTCAGCTTTGCAGTTTGATTGTCCCTGAAAGCAATTTTAACATTAACAATTCACTCCTTACTGGTAATGACTTGAGAAATGTGTGCTCATAAAAATGAAGAAAACCCCTCTTTTTTCACTTGGAAAAAAAGGAGAAGAAAACACATTTTTCAGATACCAGCTTAAAGTCAAGGCATTGAAAGAAACCATAGATAAAGTGTCCTAAAAGAAAGAGTAATGGCATAACAATCCTCCTAATTTGCTATGTCCTATCTGTTAATGAGAGACAAAAAGTCAGTAGCACCTAGTCAGATCTCACAAATAAATCTACCTTGTATGCAGGTAGAAGATAGTGATAGGCTGATTTTTCTTGCTCTCTTTCAGCACACTAGGGAGCTGGTGAAATCTGACAATTTATTTGGTCTCTGCTGTCTGCTGGCATCTTAGTGGCAATATTCCAGGTCTCTTGCACAACGGTTGTTAGCAAGACTATCTTTAGAAATGCCTAGATTATATTACTTTCTAGAAATATTCAAATGCCTCTTCAATATTAGGTGCTAAATGAGCCTGCAGAATAATTGGCGTGTATTAAATGCCATTAAAAATAATATAGAACATTTCAGCATCTTTCTCCTCCTCATATCTATTAGCAAGGCATTAGTTTATGAGCTAATGAAGTAAAAAATGCGGAAAGCAAAACTATGTCCAATGGGCCACAGGACAGGAGGGCTCTCAGCTGTGATTCTGTAATGTTCTTCTGTCTGGCTCCACTTCTGCTTTGTTTCAGAGTTATTGCTCTGACTTTCTGGTAGGGGAAAAACAAGCTCATTGCTTCCTTGCTGCAAGTCAGAGCTTTGTCCATTGCTGACTTGGCATCAGTGCCTCAAGGCCAGAATGTGTTTTTTCTTCAATATCCTGCTCTTTAAACACAGGGATAAATACTGTATCTTAGTACAAAGGGGTTAGCAGTTTCTCATAGGAATCTGGGCAGACAATGGATGTTGATAAACATTCAATGTAGTGTCTATATTTCAAACAGCCAAAATATTTTAGCTTTCCATATGATAGCTTATAATACAGTATCTTTGTAACAGAGATGATGGAAATACCAGTATACCAGTCAGGAAGGCAGAAGCTAGGAAAGGTGATATTCCAGCTATACTGTGGCAGCTGTTTCATTGAATTTCAGGTCAGAGATTTCAGTATAAATAATTTCTCTCTCTTGCTTTGTCCCTGTTGTGTGTGTCCCTGCTTTCCCCTTGCCTTGTTTTTTGCCCTTGTATTCTTCCTGTGTATGTGTTGGAGCAGTAATGTGTTGATAAGAAGATAATTAGACAGGTGTCTGTTCAGTAGGCTTTTTCACAGCACACAAGGTCAAAATGAACCTTGTGATTAATTGTGCAGCATGAGGGTAGAGAATTTTAGTTTTAGGAAGCCAAACTAGGTATGGCTTCTGGTAGCAGTTGGGATTGTTATAGCCTAAGACACGTCCAAGTGGAATTCATGACTACTTGGAGCAGGAGGATAGGTAATAGTGAGTTTCCTTGATGGGTTCTATCAGGCTACCTGAACTCAAAGATGGTTGGAGCAATGGCTCAGAAGATACATTCCTGTAAAGAGAGTTTTCTTTTAAACTGGTGGAAGATAGCTAGTTCTAAATACTAAATAAAGCACAATAAGTAGTAATGTACTCAGCTGCTTTGAATCTTGTTTGTTTTCCTTCAGTGCCTCAAGTCTGACTTGGAAAAAGTATTGAGAAAGTCACTATCACTGTCTCCCTGATGAATCAGACCTTTGTTTTTCTGCTGAGCACGGCACACTGTGGCAGTAAACTTAA